CAATTAATAAAACATTATCCCAAAACATAAATATAAATCTCAAAAGGATCAAATGTATCAAAACATCACAAATGATCAGAGTTATCACGAAAATGTGGAACTATATCGTGTGTGCACTGTAATCACCTCGAGCTCTTCCCTTTTGCACCAGAAGTACCTGAAACATAAACTGAAAACCGTAAGCACAAAGCTTAGTGAGTTTCCCCCAAATACCACATACCACATATCAACTTATAATGGACCGCCCTAACTCGTATAACGGGCCCTGTCCACTGAGTATAACGAGCCTCGATCTAACTCGCATAACAGGCCTCGCCTAACTCTTACAATGGGCCCTCCCATCATAGAAACATATCGCCACACCGTGGTGAGGCTTCACCATCCATGGCCTACAAAAGAAAAATATCATACACAATTGAAAATAATTTTATACCTATAATTGAGTGTTACAAATCTCCCCACTTGAATTCGACATCGTCCTCGAAGTCTGTTGCTCCAAATAACTCTGGATAGTGCTCTTTCATCTCATCTTACAATTCCCAAGTCCACTCCAAACTCTTGCGGTGCTGACACTAAACTTTCACTAACTCAACAACCTTGTACCTCAAGGTTTTCGTCTTCCGATCAAGGATCACCATTGTTCTCTCAATATAATCTAGGAGGTCATCCATATGCATATCCTCCAAAGGAACCACTGCGGAATCATCCACTAAACATTTCCGCAACTATTCGTGCAAAAAAGAAAATAAAATGGTTTTCAACACCGGAACATAACAACAAGTATGAGTCAACCATTAGGATACATGACTGGTCTTATGAGTAGTAAGTGCTCAATTGGATCCAAAATGTCAAAAGCCTTCCAACACTCTAAAAATCCCTTTCCCCTTATTCCCTTTTAAATACCCTGCTTGGGGACATACTTATGGATACCTGCGTGTTAACATTAGTCCCTTGAAAAATGTCTTAGAAGTCTCTCACGGTAGGTAGACCGTGAAATGTCCCACAATAGAAAAGTCAAGGACGAAAATATAAAGAAATAAGTCTAGCAAATAAATTAAGAGTATTATGGGTTGTCTTAGATCTCAATATATATATATATATATATATATATATATATATATATATATATATATATATATATATATAAAGTTAATCTGTGACTTTTAGGATTCGAATAAGTAAACTCCGAGGGGTGTTCCACACCTAGTCGCCTAAAGCTGAATTGTTTGGGACTGATTAGGTTGAAAGTTTGCTACACGGGTTCCATAGAAAGTCATGAACTTAATAATAACAAAAAAAATATAGATATGTGTAGGTATCCAAATAAAGCTAATCTATGACCTTTGATGTTTGGGAAAGTAAACCCAATGGATCTCTTTAAATCTAGCATACTAAGGTCATATGGTCTGGATGTGCTGGTTGGAAGCCCGTTATATGGATTTCAAAGAAAGCCATTGTAACGTCCATAAATCCGGGCTAGTCACTTTAGAGACGTTAAGTGTCAAAAATGAATTTTTGATAGAATATTATTTATAATGAATAATCTTAACTAATTTGTAGTATATGTTACAAGGATTTCGTACATATAAAGAACGTTGAAATCCGAGTTATAACGAAAAAGTTATGACCTGTCGAAGTTTCGCGACAAAACCGGCACGACACAGCACGATGTAAATAGTGAATTTATGTTAGAGCAATATTTGGCCTTAGAAATCTAAATGAAAGTTGTATAATACGTTAAACCGAGAGCATACATAAAAAGAACGTCCAAATCTGACTTCGTATGAGGAAGTTATGATTTTTCTAAGTTTCAGCTTAGCAGTATGTAGCCCGAAGTTCAACTTTGAGATCAAACAGTTTTTACCGAAACAATCTAAACAAGAATCGAAGATCTCGTCAATGGTAATGCAACGGTAAAAAGACAGACGGAAACGGACGTCAGACGAAGGAGTTATGAGTTTATAACGAAGTTTTCCTGTCCCGGCCTACTAAAAATAATATAAAAATAATATAATAAAAATAAAGTCAAAATTAGCCTACAGAGTCTAAATGAAAGTTATAGATCTTGTTTTACCTACGCGTGGATATAAAGAACGTCGAAAACGGAGCTCGTATGCGAAAGTTATGAATTTCTGAAGTTCGGGGCGTGAACCCCAAGGCTGTGTTAGAGCTCAAGAGGTGAACATATGTAGTTCACGAGGTGAGCCTAGCTCACGAGGTGATCATTAGTGGCTCACGAGGTGAACAGATGATGGACGTCTTCCAGGGCAAGTGGCCATGACGAACGTAATGACGTATCGAGCTCACGAGGTGAGCATATGTAGCTCACGAGGTGAATATTAGGTGAACCTAGAAAATTCACCCTATAAATAGAATTCGAGGGCAACCGATCCTTTGCTTATTTTCTCTTCTCTCTCTCTCTCCCGTTTTGCCCCGATTTTCGTGCAAGAAATATCCTGAAGCCCCGATATCATTCTCGATCCCCGAAGCAATTCCCAAAGCCCGAAGATCCCTAGAAGAAAAGAGTTTCCGAGCCGAAGCTCTGCCTGCGAGAAGCCCGGTGTGTGAAGATCTTCTAGTTTCACCGAAGAAGTACTACTCTTAGAGCCATAGTGCTGTCCGAGCATCTTCAGATCAAGTGGGTGTATAGTCCCTTTCATAAACACGATTTTAATACAAGTATTGTTTGAATGTATTAAGTATATGTTTGGTGTGAGTGTGTAGTTACTTTCTTCTAACACATAGATATTAAGTATTTGCTATGAAATACGTGTTATGTGTTTATATATTGTTTGTTTATTTGAGATGGATGTTGGATGAATGTTTTATACAGGTTTGTATATGATTTAAACTATATATGTAATTTATATCTACAAATATGTTGGGTAGAACATGGGTATATGAAATAGTTGGTGTGTGATGAATCAATGTGATAAGAGATAGGTGATGATATAATGGTGATGATAATTAGGTGATGATAAATAGGTAATGAATTACGAGTCCAGGCGATGTTGTGGTTGCGTATTCATGCGATAATAGTCTAACCCTTATTATGAATTACGAGTCCAGGCGATGTTGTGGCTGTGTATTCATGCGATGATAGTCTAACCCTTATTATGAATTAGGAGTCCAGGTGATGTTGTGGCTGCGTATTCATGCGATGATAGTGTAAAATACACGTTTTGAAATCGTGTTTTAAGTAAATAATATTATGAGATATTATGTGAATTTGAATGTTGAGTTCTAACAGATAGTTTTTACTAAAAATGAAGTAAAACTATGTTTAAAATCACTCATAAAATATTGGAAGTCTTATGAGATTCCAATTAAAAGCCAAATAGTGAAATATAGCGAAAATATAATATTTGAAATAAGTAAAATTTTATTATTGAAAATTGTAGATAATCTCGTTAGAAACACGTATGCGAAAACCTCATCGAAATCCGAGTTATAACGAAGAAGTTATGACCAACCGAAGATCCGCGATAAAACCGACACGACGCCGAATGACGTAAAAAGTGAGTTTTTGATAAACTACTTTTTAGCCTTAGTGATCTAAATGAAATTCGTTGTATTCGTTAAACCGAGAAATTCGATAAAAAAGAACGCCAAAATCTGACTTCGTATGAGCAAGTTATGATTTTTCGAAGTTTCAACTTAGTAGTAGACAGCTAAAAACTCGAATTTTTGATCGAGCGATATTTGACCGATACATCCTAAACGAGAATTGAAGGTTTCTTCATTTGTAGTACAACGGTAAAGAGTCTGACGAAAACAGATGTCGGATGAAGAAGTTATGAATCTTTAACGGATTTTCCTGTCCCGGTCTGTTAAAAATAATAATATTAAAAATAAAGTCAAAATTACCAGACGAAGTCTAAACGAAAGTTGTAGAACATAATTTTAGATACACTTGCATATAAAGAACATCAAAAACGGAGTCCGTATGCGAAAGTTCTGAATTTCGGAAGATTTTGGTTCAATTTCCTAGAAAATTCGCATGAATAGTGCCAGCCACGTCACCTCGCGAGGTCACGCGTCGTGTCCGACACGCGTCATTTTCCGATTTGCCCAAATCTTTGGCCTAATGCGCGTCCGACGTGCCTCACCCTGTGTCGCACTTCGGAGCCTCGCACCCGACCCCTTGCATGCACGCCATCTGTCTGAACCGAGCCTCGTTGGAGCCCTGTGCAGCTGCCGCGTGCCCTTCGCTGCTGATTCGCCCTTCCCCCTTCATGTGTCTCTCTCCCTCGTTTCCATGGAGCTGCTTCGCTGCTGACTCCTCCTCTCGGCCGACCTCGGATCTTCCCTGTAAATCGAGGGTTTGCGAGCCTTCTCGGATGCATTTGGAAATTTGCCATATTTTACCCCTTTTCCATATTTTCTTCATCTTAATATTTCCCAAAGCCCCGGTATCGATTATAACCCCCGGAATACGCCACGAAGTGCCCATGAAGCCCAAAACACTACTAGAAAAACATCCTTTTACGACGCTCATTGCGCGTCGTAAAACGCTCAGACGACGCGCAAATGCGTGTCAAGGAAGGCCCTGTCATAACGAGAGACGACGCGCTTTTGCGCGTCCTCTAGAGACGACGCGCATTTGCGACACGCATTTATGACACGCAATGCGTATCAACAAAAGTCGCTGTCAAAAAAGGTCATGTCATAAATGAAGATGACAAACTTGTTTGCGTATCGTAATTTTTATTTTTATTTTTTAAAAAAAAATTATTTATAGATTTACTAATTTTCAAATTAAATTTGCATTTCATGTATCATAATAGAAAATAAAATACCATTTACAAAAAATACAATCCATTGCACAAAAGTTAATGTCATACAAAATACAAAATAAAATACAATAAATAAAAAAGATAAATCATTGCACTAACATGTCAAATACAAATAATCATCCCTAACTATATAAGCTAATACTACATTGCTATTAAGGGACATCATCATAACTCACTAAAGGTCTTGGAACAATGTTCTCGTCATCAACTCTTACGCCAACCTTGCTTTAGTAGATGGTCTTGTAGCTACATTGCAATTTAGCCATTTCCAAGTGCAATGTTTTATAAATTATTATTATTTTAGATTTATTTATCTAAAACCAAAAATAAATATATTGAAAATGACACATACCAGTCCAGTAGACATTGCTAATTCACCCAACTGCTTCCATTTCGACTCACTTTGTGCTACTAGTACTATATCCTATATACACAAACAAATGTTATTATTAATTATAATTCATAAAGTCAAGTATTGGAATATCTTTTGCTTACCTTCACAATCTCTAGTTTACCAAGCTGAATATCTAGTTCAAATCTATAATCAGGACATGTAGCAACTGCTAAAGCTTCATCGATCATTCCACGTGACTCCAATAAATGAGCAACACTATCGAGAAAAGAAATATTCATATATTAAATTGCTTTGGTTTATCTCAATCAAAGTACAATGATACAAAGTAAGTTGCCTTTATCATTTTATTATTGATCTTTGATATTTTGACAAGATTGAGAGAAAAAGAGACTTGCACTACATTAAGGGGGACATCCCCTAAAGAAACAGTTGCCACAACATTAATCACAAGGGCAACCACATTTACAGTGAGTTGGAACTGAATAAATTTTTGTATGTTTGCATGCCAAAGAAACACATTAATCTCAAATAATAATAATAATAATAATAATAATAATAATAATAATAATAATAATAATAATACTTTTGAAGCGTTTTCTATACCAACATAAAGACCAGAAACAGAAGATATCAGACCTTTACAATGGAAGCGAAATTGTCTTCCAAGATTACGATATCACTACTTTCTTTTGCAACTTCAGTTCCTTGGATGCCCATAGCAAGACCCATATCATCCTACAATTTCAATTTCAAAAAATAAAAATCATAAAAATACAGCAAAAATAATTAAATTAATCATGAAAGAGCTTTAATTATTACCTCATGTAGAGCAGGGGCATCGATTGTTCCATCTCTAGTGTAGCTAAGTGAAAAACAGCAAGAATTCATCTAATCTGCTACTATGCTATTCAGACTTGTATATTCAAGAAAAAGAAATCAAAAGATTTGAATTTTAAAAATATAAAGATAGGGTTTTTGATTTATTGTGCAAGATTTAGGAGGACAGGAAAAAAAAGATACAAAAATAGATTATACTGTGTTCAGAGAGATGTGTGGTGTGAAAGATATATAAACAGTACTCTCCATAAGTGCTATGATCAGAACTCATACAGGTTTACACACAATTCTCCATAAGTGTTACGATCATTTTTCATCGAAAAAATGGCCACCAATAAGATTATGTAAATTTGCCTACAAGGAAGAAGTACAACAGCTCGTACAACTAAGGCACCAGTGGCTCCAAGGGCAGAAGGGTCATATGCAATAATAGCATAATTATGAACAGGGTGAAGACACATCGGCTGAAAAAATTAGATAATAACCTTAATTAAGAGATTAAGAATTAAGAATTAAGATTAATATTTAAAAGTTAAAAGTTAATTTCTCTGTTTCATAATCATACCTCTCATGGGATTTTCAACTTTTCTTGTGATTCTTGAAATTTCTGCAGTTCAAGCTCAAGTCTAAAGTTGTCTTTTGTCGTGATTCTTGACACTTCTACCCCTGTATGCTCTTCTACATTGTCTTCATCAACTACTGATTGTTCTGATGCCTCAAGAATATTTATCTCCAATTTCTGTTTTTCTATTTGTTCGTCCAGTTCCTGGAGGATAGAAACTAGCTTAAGATTTGATTCTTGAGTTTTACTCAATTGTATACTCAAATTATTATTCAAATCTTATGGAAATTTTATTTCTTCTTCAAGTTCTGCTTGGATACCATTTTTATCTTGAACCTGAGCTTTTAGATTAGATCCATAGATAAGGTTTTTTTATTCTAGATAGATAAAGCGTGATAACTGCCACGCCGCTTCTTCACCAGGACGATCTTTTCTAAGACCATGCCTCTTCTGAAGAGAAACAGATTGACTAGTCAAACATGGTCAAACATGAAAGTAGAGGATGCTATGATATAATCAACAAATATAATCACACCTTGTTATCAAATTTTAGTGGGAAGCCACTGTTTGAGTTGTTCATACTATCTGGTGCTGACTCCAGAAATCTCATATTGTAAATTGCCTTCATATCGTCAGGAAGCAAATCTGCTAACTGAATATTAAAAAATGATGTTATTGGGTATATTTTACAAACTACAATGCCTTGATAACAAAAATACAATGCTGTAATAGTAAGAAAAAAAAAAGATCCTCACCTCCAATATCTTTGCAAGTTTATCAGTCTCAAATTTCTCGGTATGAGTTGCTACATATATCATTAATAATCGGATCTTTTGTTCATCTGTTGCATCCTGCATGAAGCAACAGCATACAACATTACAATTATGGACATGAAATCTGGAATGCATATAATAAATTATTAATTCCTGCTGTTTGCTCACTTGTTCTTTAAGAAACTTAATGATATCTTTTGTTCCTGCATCTCCAAAGACAAGGTCTTGCTCTAATTGCCCCACTTCTCTAAGCCCCATCTCCCTGATAATACCATTAATCTTTCCAGCAAGCTGTTTCAGTCAAACTAGTATCAGACATAGTTGACCATTATATCAACATAACCCTGGATTTATTTATTTATTTATTTAAAAAAACAAACAAGCAAATACCCTAGTGACTTACATCAACATGGAGGGATAGTTTGTCCATTTGTTCATTGGCAATGCTTGAACCATCTTTTGCAAGTCACGAGTAGACATCTCCCCACCATCTCTACAAAAACAATTATGAATGTTTGTTGAATTACAAGGGTAAAATGGTTATTTAGTCTCATTCAGACACTTTATTCATTCTAGAAAGAAAAAAAAACAGACCTTATGTATACAACAACAATTTACATGGTCATTTAGTCTCATAAGAATAAAATGGTCATTTGGTCTCATGCATACTAGAAAAAACAAACAAACAGACCTGCCATGCATCTGAGCAGCTTTATTTCTAGACACAAAATTTGTCATCTTGTCATGCAAGCGTTCACTAGCCCGACAATGAACCATTGATCAAAAGCTATATAATTATATATTTTATTAAAAACCAAAACCAAATAAATAAAAAAATCTAAAAAAGACATACATCTGCTATATGGGAATGTCGGAGCTCCAGCCATACTAGATCATGATCCTCTAAAAGGACCTCTTTCCTTTCATAACCATCACCTGTTTTGCTTGGAACCTAAGCAATATAATTACTTGGCGTATAATACAAAAATAATATAAAAAATTTCACTAACAAGATTTTATAATAATAAACAATGTACACTACACTAACCACGTGAACATATTTATTTCCCTCCATTTCAAGTAAATCATGGCACATTGCATCATATATCCATTCATGAATAACAGGAGCAATCTACAAGTAAAAAAAAACAAAACAAAGTTAGTTCCTAACTCTACTAAAAAATTAAATTAAAGATGACAGGTTGCATCCTATTATTATAATTTGATAAAGGCCTGTAAATGGAAAAGGAGACATGAGAAGATGATCCTGGTCGTGAAGATGACTCTGAAACCACATTCTTCCCCACTCCCAGAAGCTCACTGGGTCCCACCTTCCTTTGCTCAGAACCAGCTGTCATATTTAACCATTCATAAATACAATTAATTTACATTAAATAAAAAATAATTTCAAATACAAAACAAGATGATAACAAAATGGTGATTAAATAAATTTAAAAAAAAAATTCTCACAAGAAGTCGATTTGATCACAAGAGGGGTCTCTTGAATTTGTTCAACTGCAGCTACTTTACTCCCAGCCTCACATCTAATAGTACCCACAGACAGCCGTGAATCTTGTGATGGCATCAAAATAGGATCTTTTTCAGACAAATATACCCCTAGTGATCCCTACATGATTATACAGGCACAAACAGAAAAACCTACAAGCTTCCACGTTTTTAAGCATACTGAAACCATAATTACACAACTGCGTACCTTGAGAAACCGACCCCTCCTGTTTTCCCCAATGTCAAAGTAAAACACTTGAAGAAAGAACCCTAATCAGAAAGGTAATTGGACAGATATGAAGGTTATTTGAAAGAAAAATCTATGATAATTGTTGAAGAAACTAGTAAAGTCAATCCACATTTTGCAGAGTAATAAATATGAAAGTGTATGTATAGTATGTGTAATGTGTAATATAATAAATTGCCTGGCTATCAAGCTGAAGTTCCTTTCTAGAAATATCTTGGTCATCAGAAGTGACGTAGTAGTTGAAGATATCAAAGAACCAAGAGATTCCATTGAAAGGTACGATTATGGTGGACCTTGTCGCCGACGTCTTCTCCGAAATCTTCAGGTAAAGACAGCGTGGTTCTCCTTGATATCAATGTAAAACAACTTATGCTCCACCGCTTCGTGCACCTCCGTCGCCGCCCGAGTTAAACTCCATCTCCCCTTACGTCTTCTCCTGCACCTCCACCTGTAACATCTTAGACAACAACTCCTCGTTGCCCCTTACGTGTTTTGAACCAGGCGAGAGAGATGAGATGGAAAATCGAGAGTGAGATAGAAAAAATTAGGGTCGGATTTAGGAACCCTAAATCATCGGCTCAAATTGATAACTGGGAGGTAAGAACCCTAAATCCTCAGCTCAGGATCGAATTAAGAGTGTAAGAACTTGTTGGAACCGAGACTTAGGTTTTTCGTGGAGGTGATGGATCAAGGAATTGAGGAAGATGTGGATGAAGACGAAGGCCCTAATTCGAAGAGGCGTGGAATTTTTCGGATGAATAGGCGGGGTGTTAATTTTTTGGATTTTATTTCCCCCCCTAAAACGTGTGTTTCCTTAAAAAAAATATATAAAGCGACACAGTGACACGGCGCACATTTTTTTGTAGGTGCCCTCCGTATTTTTTTTTCTGACACTAATTTTATGGTACGCAAAAATGTGTGTTATCTATCCTTCAAATTTTCGAAAACTAACATTAATTTTTAGGGCACACATAAATGCGTGCCCTCTATCAGTGTGCGTCATTAATTGCACGTCGTAAAAGGCTATTTTTCTAGTAGTGAAAATTTATCTTTTTGGTTTTGAAGCTCTACCTTCGCAGAGACCGGTTTTCAAGAAAACTCCCGGTTTTCAACAACGAAAGTCATATTTAGAGCCGAAGTACTGCCCAAAGTAATATTTTAGCCCCCGGTTATTTCACGGCGAGTTTAATATATAGGAACAATTGTATGTTATGTGTTATATGTGCTTTGTGCTTTTCAGTGTTATTATTCGGGGTTATTTTTATTCGCTATTTTTAATAGCAAAGAAATACCTTTGACCATGTGATCAGTGAAAGGACTTAGATTCACGTTGGTATTGGTATGTAGCCTCTGGCCATGTAGAACATGTCTCCGTAAGAGAATGATTTCTATTCTATGGTATAGGCAAAAGGTTAGACAGGGCTATAAGCTTGAAATCTACCAAAACGTTAATCCGAAGTTGTATGTCTTATGTGCCGTTTGGGCCAAAGCTTTATTGATGTATATCAAGCATGGAAATTGTTATGTCTCATTGATTGTATATCTTTAAATCAAGTCAATGATTGATATGGAATGGTTGTCACATGATTCACATATGCCCTTGTTATTCCTTGTTCCTCTTTGCTTCTACCATATTGAAGTATATATGTGACATAACGTTATATTGTATCTATTATTGAACTCACTAAGCGTCACCACTTACCCTCTCAATGTTTAACAAATTGCAGGAGATAAGCATCCAGTATAGTTATATACTGGTAGAAGATTTTTGAATAGTTTGAAACTATTGTATCGATAGAACCTTCTGAATAGTTTGAAACTATTGTATTTTGCATTCCCATATGTATAAAACTATAGAATCCTGGGAAGTAATGTAATGTATAACACTTTAAAATAGTCGGTTTGTATCCAGTAGTTTGTAACCTCTTTATCAATGTAAAATATTGTTTTTATGAATATGCAAGTAACATGTTTGGGGTAACTATATTGTTAAGTATGAAAGTTTGGGTCTTTCATAAATACGAAAGTTAGGGTCTTTCAGATAGTCTAACCCTTATTATGATTTACGAGTCCAGGCGATGTTGTGGCTGCGTAATCATGCGATGATACCCTAACCCGAATTAGTATTGTCTATGCGATGTAGGCGATGATCCTTAGGAAAAGTTCTTAGAAATAAACATATAAGGAAATAAGATGTAAGGAGATGAGAGGTAAATAAGATATAGGAGATGACCCTTAGGATAATATCTTTAGAGAAGATTAAACGAAGATAATGGGGATGGGTAATTGTGTTGATTGTTTGATGATTAAATATAATAATTATATTATTGTGGGTTGAAAACCCTACATGCTCACCAGCTCCCAAGCCTGACCCACTCAGTTTTCTTTGCATTACAGGTAATGGCACAAGGGTATAAGTTGGTGGACTTGACGAGAGATTTTGGATTATAGATCAGTAGTTATAAATAACAGTTGTAAGGTCTATTTTATATTCTTTATGCTTTTGGTCTGTATCGGAACATGACATCCCAAGATTTTGTTATATAATGAAAATACATTTCTTTAAAGAAATGCTTTAATAAATTCTTATCATATTTTGTTTTGGGAACAAATTCCGCAACTGTTTTCTGTAAACGATTACTCTGATTTTAAAACAAGCATAAACAAATCGGTCTTTTCTGGCCGTGAAAAAATGGAGATGTCACAGCCATGAGCTTTATTTGTAGGAAAATATAATTAGATAGTTTGTATATATTTATGTTTATAGTTTAATTGAATAACACGTTTAGGAAAAATATGTGGCTGCCAAAAGATTCTTTTGGAATTGGACTTGAACTTACGACATTGGGACTGCCTGTTAACTACTTTGACTGGTGTAAGTGGTTTGAAATTTGTAACCAACCTGGGTAAATTTTAGGGAATTTTTAAAAAGGATTTTTTAGAAAGAGATTGTTGTTAATCAACAAATAACTGGAGTTGGTCATCGTCATATTTTATATCATAAAGATTGTTAAGCATATTTTTTCTTCATCACATGTATTTCCACGAGTGTAAAACCATAATTTGTTCCATGTGCTGATTCAATACTAGTAAAAGTGAATAAGTGTTGTAATCTTCGATTCTGTTAGGTTGTATTGGGGAGTTTCTAAAGTATTAATTTTAATGAATATGTGTTTGTGAGGCCAAAACCAAGTTAGCTCAAGGCACGATAGGTAATTTCTCGACTATGTGGTAAAAGCAAGGTCAATTGGGTTGGATGATTTTTTTGTTTTGTTATGTTTTGTGATTCATTGCATTGTACTCCAAAATTAGGACCTAGAATTTTATCTTTTTTTTTCTCCAGTTTATGTTTATCTTCTGTTCTTTCTTAAGGACAAGAAAGGTCTAAACTTGGGCAAATTTGTTAGGTGTATTTTATGCACCATTGAAGCATGTGTAATTCACTCTTTTTGCATTTCAATTTAGTAATAATCCCTGCATTTTACTTGTTTTTGGGACAAAACTCGGCAAGCTTTATTTCCATACTTGTTATGCCATTTCAGGTGGTTCTGGAGGTTGGAGATGAATCGAGATGGTGAAAAAAGGTTGGGAGCAAAGATGCGGATTTTTCGAAGTAAAATTGAAGAAAACAAGAAATTGTCACAAAAAAGTTAACACATGTCGTGTCAAATGGTATATCAACAAAAAGTGGCTGCAAATGAGAAAGCTTTCCAACTTTTTGAATGACACGGGGTTGTGTCTGTCGTATAACTTCTGGGACAGTTTTCTTTTATGATTAAATTTCGGGTTTTTGATCCATTAGACAGACTCTCATTCACTCCAGGCGACCAAGGATGGTTCTTAGAATAAGTTTTTAGTTTGTAGCTTGAAGAAGATCATTTGGAAACACTTTAATTTGCATTTTTTAAGTTAATTTGAAGATCAAATCTTGTTAAATTTGTAGTTTGATTTAGACATGTGTGGCTGATTTCTCTATCATTTCCGATTCCAGATTTCTAAGTGTTTGTTGTTAGATTGTAATTTGCACTTAACTTTATGTTTATCATCTAGTAATCTTTTATTTGGTCTTAAATATATGTTTGTTTGGTTCTCTTTTCACTTGATCAATGAATTAGGGTTCTTATCAATCTAGTTAATCAAATTGTGAAATTCGTATATGTTTTATGATTTGATGTTAGTGACATACACTTGATTGGTTGTAAATAGATCAAAATTAGTGTAAGCAAAGATTAGATGTTCATATTCCCAAACTTATGAGGAATGCTGTACATTGTTGGGAATTGTTGCAAGAACTTAATGTCATTTAGTGATTTGATGCAAGAGCTTATTTGAATGGAATCAATTAAATGAAATTTTGTTTGAAGAACATGTTTTGAATGAAATAATTTTGTCAACAGGCCCGAAGTTGAGATATTAGAGGCCCTGTGCAAAAATTAAATTAAGGCCCCATACCGTTTTTGTAAAATATTATTAAGGAAATTTTTTACCGCTAAAGACAAAAAGAGTCCATTATTTTATCAAAAAGAATTTTTATTGTTTATTTTATAAATGAGATTTGTAACATGAAATTCTATTTTAATTAATTTATTATTATTGTTATTTTCTTCTAACTTTTTTTTAATTATAAAATATAAAATAAAATTCTCAATTGGAGGCCCCTTACGATTGGAGGCCCGGTGTGATCGCATACTCGCACCACCCCCAGGGTGCGACTGAATTGTCAACTTGGATATTAGAGTTTATTAATATCTAAATTACCAAGCAAGATTGAACATGAATCACAGTCATATTACACCTTACAACTCAACACATGTATAGGAATCATAGCGGAAATGTATTTCTCTTGTTGAATTTTAATATCAATATTGTTTGTTTATGAAGTTTAATTTGAATTCAAACATAACACCCCCCCCCCCCCCATTTTAACATTGATTGTATGATGCGTAAGAATATGGTTAAATAAGAAGTCTCGTATTCTTGTGGATCGACTCTGCTTTCTATACAATCTTTAGTGTAGATAGTAGTAGTAATGATTTGCATTTTATTGTTATTATTTTATCCCATTATTTGTTGGTTTGACCTCCAAACACACTCCTACATATCTATCTATTTTTACTGATCCTTACAGATCTTAGGCCATGATTATCAGGGAATAATTATCTCGCCTAATGAACCGTTAAAAGATTGACTACAGAGCTAGGGGTTTCCTTGGCATGTGTAAGTTATAAAGAATATGCAGACATACCACTATAGTTGTCTGATCTGGACCAACCATTTATATTTATCCAAGAATATGAAAACATACCATTATTCGTACGCTTCGCTTCTTTCTATATGATAATATGCACCTTGGTTGTTGCGCTCCCTGCGGGTAATAGCAAGAGAGTGAAGAAGGAATGATCCTCCGAGTGATTGAGTCCGACTCAAGCGAGTGAGTGAAAGGCGTGGCAAGAGAGC